ATCTTGAAGTCTACTTTGTCTGATATAAGTATGGGAACACCTGCTTTCTTTTGTTTACCATTAGCTTGGAATATCGTCTTCCATCCCTTCACTCTAAGCCTGTGTTTGCCTTTAGAGCTGAGATGGGTTTCCTGGAGGCACCAAATTGTTGGGTCTTGTTTTTTAATCCATCCAGCCACTCTGTGTCTTTTGATTGGGGAGTTCAATCCATTTACATTTAGAGTGATTATTGATATATGAGGGCTTAATGCTGCCATTTTATCTCTTGTTTTTCAGTTCTTATGTATTTCCCTTGTTTCTCATTCTGTGTGTTTTGGACTGCTAATTCAGTTTGGTGGCTCTCTATGATGGTTTTTACAGTTTTATCTTTATTTATCATTTGTGTCTTTGTTATGATTTTTTGTTTAGCAGTTACTGTGCAGTTTCTGTAAAACATCTCATAGATGAGATAGTCTATTCCCTGGTAGCCTCTTGTTCCTTTAGTCTAAGCAGGTTTCATCCCTTTCTTTCCTCTTCCCCTTCTGAGTTGTTGTTGTCACAACTTATTCCAAGATGTGTTGTGAATTTGTGGTTAAAATGAAGTAATAGTATTTATTTTCGCTGTTTTCCTTCCCGTTATCTTTAGAGTTATAATTAAGTGTTTTCTAATCTGCTCTGATAGAGAGTTGCAATTTTCTGATTTTGTCTGCCTATTTATCCCCTTGCTCAAGGCTTTGTTAACCCTTTCTTTCCTTTTTTTCCCTAGGTTTGAGGGCCTTCTTGATCAAGTCTTGTGGGGGGGATCTTGTAGCAATGAACTCACTCAGCTTTTGTTTATGTGGGAAAGTTTTTATTTCTCCATCATATCTGAAAGATATTTTCGCTCGATATAGTATTCTTGGCTGAAAGTTTTTGTCTTTCAAAATTTTGAATTTATCATTCCACTCTCTCCTAGCCTGTAAGGTTTCTGCTGAAAAATCTGCTGAGAGCCTGATAGGGCTTCCTTTTTAGGTTGTTCTCTTCTGTCTTGCTGCCCTTGATATTTTTTCTTTGTCATTGACTTTTGCCAGCTTTACTAATATATGCCTTGGAGAAAGTCTTTTATATTGATGTAATTAGGAATTCTGTTGACTTCTCTTACATGTAATTCCAGCTCCTTCTCCAGGTTTGGGAAGTTCTCAGTTATTATTTCTTTGAACAAGCTCTTTGCTCCTTTTTCCCTCTCTTCTCCCTCTGGAACACCTATAATCCTTATGTTGCATTTCCTAACATATTTCTCAGAGAATGTCTTCATTTCTTTTTAGTCTAAGTTCTCTCTCCTCCTCCATCTGAAGCATTTCTGTGTTCCTATCCTCAAGATTGCTAATTCTGTCCTCCATATTGTCAGCTCTGTTGTCTAAGGACTCCAGATTTTTCTTCATCTCATCCATTGTGTTTTTCATTTCTAACAGTTCTGTTTGGTTTTTCTTTAAAGTTTCAGTCTCCTTTGTGAAGAATTCCCTCTGTTCAGTAATTTGGTTCCTGATTTCATTGAACTGTCTGTCAGAATTCTCTTGTAATGGTTAAGTTTTCTTATGATGCCTGTCTTGAATTCTTTGTCATTTATTTTGTAGATTTCTCTGCCTTCAGAATTGACTTCTAGGTGTTTGTCTTTTTCCTTCTGGTCTAGAGTATTAATATATTTCTTTATACCATTTGATGGAGTGGATTTGTGCTGGTGCATAGTTATAGTTTCTGGACGCAGGTTCCACCTGCTGCCACTTGCGGGGGGCAGGAGCTGTGTAATCTGAGCCCGTTGCTGCAGTCTCTGTCAGCTGTGCCTGTCCGAGCCTGGGTCACTCCTTGGGATTGCAGCAGGCTTGTGGGGTCTCCCACCAAATGGCGAAGTAGTCATGCAGGGGGCTCAGGGCTGCTGTCACCTGCTTCCATGGTCCTGCTGAGTTGTGCTCCCCACTTCAGGGCCGCTGTGGTACTATGGGCTTTCACGGCAGCCGGGGGGCTTGTTTGGTTTCTGCTGCCCTCTGCTCCTAGGTCACACCAGCCTTTGTGCTTGGGTGGGCAGGGCTTCCCCACTGGGTCCAAGCCTGCGTCACTCTCTGTGGGCTGTGTGGCCCTGAGGGCTCTCCTACTAGACGGGGAAGCGATCACATGGGGTTGCTCACAGGGCTGCCGTCACCTGTTTCCACAGTCGTGCTGAGGCACATTTCCCCCCTGGGGGCCTCAGCGGTGCTATGGTCGCTCCAACCAGGAAAGCAGTCGCACACGTGCAGTGGGCTGCCTGGGGTCCAGAGGATGCTCACCTATCTCCACCACCTCCCTGGGGGGTAGTCCATCCACCTTCAGATGTATTGCTGCTCAGGTCTCTCAGGTGTCCTTATGTGCTGTGTGGATAACCTCTGCTGATCAGTGAATGTCCTTTTAGTTGTAGTTCAAAGGGGGAGAGACACAGGGAACAGCTCACTCCGCCATGTTGCTGACTCAACTTCCAGTTTTTAATGAATTAATAATGTGGAGATGAGGCTGGAATTATCCAAAAGAAATGTGCTATAGAAAAGTAATCTAGATGAAAGCCCAGAGTTGGTGATATGTATGAGGGTCAGTAACATAGAGGCAGTAATTAAAACCGTGAAAAAAAATGAATTTTTCAAGGGCATAAGTACAAAGAGCAGAGTACAGAACTTGTACAGAGGACAGAACTTGAAATGCAGAGGGGAAAGAAGAGTGAGGGAAAGAAACTGGAGGGATCATTGTCATTTGGCAGGAGAAAAATTGGCAGCATGTCATGGAAGCCAAAAGAGGGAAAAAAGAACCCACTAACACTGGGTAGCACTGAATAGACAGAAAATAAGAACTGAGAAGAATCCATTACATTTGTCTAGTAAGAAGTTGTTAGTGATATTCAATAATTTCAGTAGGATGGCGGTTCGGAAGCTAGCAAGTACATACAAAGGAGCTCAGCAGAGAAGATATCATTATGTGAATAACGTCCTAATAGGAGGAACTCAAAGGAAATTTTAGGAGGATATTTGAATCACTAATATACTGAAGTGAAGTTTAGGGAATTGAGGTCATTCATGTTAGATGAACTTTTTTTTTTAAGTAGAAAGTAGATAATAGGTAAGTAATGGGTAAAGGGGGCCGTGGAATGAGAAGTTAAATAAGAGGGCTATGAAGGAATGTTCTTGAATGTTGAAAAATAAAAAGAGCAAGATTAAAATATACTATGTGACTTTACACTGTGAGTTTATAAAGACATGGATTTTCTATTTTTTCCTTCAGCTTATGGCATAAGCAGGAGAGTAAAAGAAACCTGTGATGATTACTACTGGTTAATAAGGGTTTGCTCACTAAAGAGTAGTCAGGGTGATAATTTATCGTTGAGGTAGTTGGGGGAAAGAAAGGAATCAATTGTAGTTGGGACCGAATACTTTGAATTTGTTGAGTAAACGTATTGGGAAGCTAGATTTGGTGGCGGTATTGAAGGGTAGGAGATAAATGGCTAGTAAGTAGGTGTGTTTTGGAGGAAGTAGTCTTTGAGAGAGGATATAGCCCTTCTGGTCTGTAACTGTAGTGATGACGGAAATGAATATTCATGAAATATAATAAGGCCTTCAAGCTTGAAGAATAATCATATGGATGTTGTTGTGACCAAGGATGATTTTGGGTTCAAGACAGAGAGGAAAAAGTAGGAGTTGCTAAAATAAATGATTCCTGGGAATCATAGGAAACTGTAAAAAAGAGTTAAGAGTATTTGAGCAGTTTTCTTCCAGTGCAGTTCTTCAAAGAAAAGCCTAGTATCCACTGTATTAATGAGCTTAGTGTGGGAGTAAAGAACCAGATAGGATCCTTGATGATGATTGAGCAGGCGGGACAGTGTGACTCTCTCCCTCAATCTAAGCAGCTCTATCTTTATCTCTCATATATGTTGAGCTTCTGCATATGCTTTCATTTGAAAAATGGGTTCAAAGTGAAGGAAAAGTTACTCAGCTATTGTGGACAGATGAAACTGCAAAGGGCTTAATATTCAGGCACAGAGGCTTGGTATAGCTTTGTTACTGCACTTACTTGTAGTTCTTCATTGCCAGAGCCTAAGCTGAAGGCATAAAATGTTAGGATTTGAGTCTCAAATGCTTGTTAATTATAATAGCAATAGTAAGCATTTATTGTTTATATGCTAGTCACTGTACTGTGTACTTTACATGCATTATCTCATTTGATCTTCATAATTACCCTTCAGGGTAGTCTTTTATCACTATTTTACAAATGGGCAAAGTGAGACTCAGCCATGGTGTCCAGAGTCACCAAGTCAAGGAATAGGGATGCTGGGACTTAAAGTTGGGTATTTGTCTTCAAAGTCTGAGCTCTTCATCATTACTCTATAAGGCTTATTGAATGTTATTATGTAATATTTTCTGAATTTCTTAATATTCTTATATGTCAAAGAGCAGTAAAATAAAAAATTTAAAGATTGTGACACCTTTCAAAATGATAATAGAATAGATAAAAAGCAAAGCTGCTCTGATTGAAGTAGTTATGAGGGACCTGGAGCTATGCCCTGTCTCTCTTTCTGACTACTCTTGCTCCAGAGGTGTCTGTGGGAAATCTACAGGTTCTTTGGAGTATATTCTGAAAATTATAGCCTTAGAAATAAGGATAATATCATAGGTATAATGTAACAATATTTTAAATTAGTTTATTGGTTTTCCATATAGAATATCAGTCATTCAAAAAGCACAGTTGAATTAAATGTTTTATTTCCTGACTTTTTAAGTTTTAAAAAATGCATCACAGCTGTTATAACACTCAGTTTAAGAGATTGAGTGATTTATCTAGTATAATTCATATACAAAGCTTCCTGACTTTGCTCTGTTGGTTTAAACATGTTATATTAATGCTGAAAATAAATCTAAAATTGTCTGCCTTCTTGTTGATAGTTTAATAGGATCACTATTATTTTATGTATATTTTATTTTGATAACGTGGAAAAAATGGTAAATGACTCTCTTTCTTTTTTAAAACAGGGATTGCTTGGCATTTTGTACAGAACCAGTTTTTGCCAGTTTAGCCAATGTTTTAGGTAACTGGGAAAATCTACCTTCCCCTGTATCTCCAGACATTAAGGATTATAAACTTTATGATGTAGAAACTAAATATGGTTTGCTTCAGGTATGTATTTTTATTCATCATATGAAAAGTTTTTTCCTTCAAAATTGTTTTTGGCTATCTCAAACTTATTAGCCATGTAAACTACTTTATGTAAACCTTTGCATCTTTTCAGTAATTTAAAAATTATTACTATGTCCTAGACTTTTTCTACAGTTTATTGTTAGGCTTAAATTATGTTTGAAATGTATGAAACATAACACCGGTAACCTTTGGAGAAGAGCACTTATTGACTGGTGGATGGGATGGTTCCCTTTTGATTTTTTTTGTTTTAGAACTTGTAAATGCGTTTTATGAACAAAACATTAAATTGAAATAATAAATTACTTATTAAAAATAAAAAATTACATCTTTAAGGAAATTATTTAATAGGTACAAGAGATATTATTAGCCTTTTCATATATGTCCAGTTTTTCTGATTTTCCTTTCCCTGCTTACCAAAATACCTTCAGTTCTATAGGATAAATTTATGCAGTAAATTCTTATTTCCTTGGGGACAGAGATCATTTTATTTATTGTTTTTTTAACAGCTTTATTAGGGTATAATTAATTGGCATACAGTAAACGTCACATATTCAAAATATACAATTATATAAGTTTGACATATATACCTGTGAAACCATCACCACAACCAAAATAATACACATATCCATGACCCCTCAAAGTGTCCTCATACTCTTTGTAATCCCTCCGTCCTGCTCCTTGCTATCTTTCCATCTCTTGTCCCAGGAAACCACTGACTTGCTTTCTGTCACTATGAATCACTAGAATTTTGTAAACGGGATCATATGATACATACTCTTTTTTTTGGCCTGGCTTCTTTCAGTCACCCTAATTATTTTGAGATTCATTCATATTGTTGCACGTCAATACTTTTTTTTATTGCTGAGTAGTAGTCCATTGTACGAGTATACCGTAGTTTGTTTGTCCATTCACCTGTTGGTGGTCAGTTGGGTTGTTTTCAGTTTTTGGTATTGCAAATAAAGCGGCAATGAACATTCATGCACAAGTTTTTGTATGGACTTCTGCTCTCATTTCTCTTGGTTAAATACCTAGGAGTAGAATGGCTAGGTCAAATGGTATGTATATATTTCTTTTTTTTTTGGTGAGGAAGAGTGGCCTTGAGCTAACACCTGTTGCCAATCTTCCTCTTTTTGCTTGAGGAAGATCAGCCAGTCTTCCTCTATTTTGTATGTGGGTTGCTGCCACCTTGATGAGCAGTATGGGTCTGCACCTGGGATCCAAACCCACGAACTCCAGGCCTCCAAAGTGGAGTGTGCCGAACTTAACCAGTACGCCACTGGGCTGGCCCCTATTTCATTTTTTAAAAAACGGACAAACTGTTTTCCAAAGTGGTAGTACCATTTTACATTCCCACTACATCTTTGCCCAAACTTAGTACACTTGGTCCTTTTAATTTTAACTATTCTAATAGGTGTGCAATGGTATTTTAATTTGGAGTTTTAATTTGCATTTCCCTGATGAATAATGATGTTGAACACCTTTTCATGTGCTTCTTTGCCATGTGAATATCTTTTTTGGTGAACTGTTTGTTCAGATCTTTTGCCCATTCTTTGAATAGGTTGTTTGTTTTCTATTATTGAGTTTTGAGATTTCTTTATATATTGTGGACAAAGATCTTTTATCAGATACATGATTTACAAATATTTCCTCCTGGTCTGTGGCTTATCTTATTCTCATAACAGTATATATTTTTTAATTGCAGTAAAATACACATAAAATTTATCATCTTAACTCTTTTTAGATTTGCAGTTCAGTGGCATTAAGTACATTCACATTGTTGTGCAACCATCACCACCATCCATCTCCAGAACTCTTTTCACCTTGCAAAAACTGAAGCTGGGGCCAGCCCCATGGCTGAGTGGTTAAAGTTCCGCACGTTGCGCTTTGGTGGCCTGGGTTCGCGGGTTTGGATCCTGGATGTGGACCTACTCCACTCATCAGCCATGCTGTGGAGGCATCCCACATACAAAAAATAGAGGAGGATTGGCACAGATGTTAGCTCAGGGCGAATCTCCCTCACCAAAAAAACACAAAAAACAACATAAAAGCTGAAGCTGTACCTGTTAAACAATAACTTACCGTACCCCCTGCCTCTGCCCCCCAGCCACTGGCAACCACTATTCTGTGTTTGTCACTGGTTTATTTCACTTCTCATAATGTCCTCAAGGTTTATCCATGTTGTAGTATGTGTCAAAATTTCCTTCTGTTTTTAAGGCTGAATAATATTCCATTGTATGTATTTACCACATAATGTTTATTCTTTTTTTTTTTTTTTTTTGTGAGGAAGATTAGCCCTGAGCTAACATCTGTCGCCAGTCCTCCTCTTGCTGGGGGAGACTGATCCTAGGCTAACATCAGTGCCCATCTTCCTCCACTTTCTGTGGGACGCCACCACAGTATGGCTTGACAAGCAGTGCGTCAGTGCGCGCCTGGGATCTGAACCCCAGGTTGCCGCAGCGGAGCGCACGCACTTAACCACTATGCCACCAGGCCGACCCCTGCATAATGTTTATTCATTCGTTGATGGGACACTTGGGTTGCGTCTAAGTGTTCCAAGTTGAACATGAGTGTACAAATATCTCTTAGAGACCCTGCTTTCAATTCTTTTGGGGATATACCCAGAAGTGGAATTGTTAGATATTATGGTGATTAAATTTTTAATTTTTTAAGGCACAGGCGTACTGTTTTCCATAGCAGCTGCACCATTTTACATTTCCACCAATAATGCAGAAGGGTTCTAATCTCTCCATGTACTCACCAACATTTGTTATTTTCTGATTTTTGATAGTAGCCGTACTAATGGGAGTGAGGTGGTATCTTATTGTAGTTTTGATTTGCATTTTCTTAATGGTTAGTGAATCTGAGCATCTTTTCATGTGCTTATTGGCCATTTATATATCTTCTTTGGAGAAATGTGTATTCAAGTCCTTTGCCCATTTTTGAATCAGGTTGTTTGGTTTTTGTTGTTGTTCAGTTGTAGGATATCTTCATATATTCTAGATATTAACCTCTTATCAGGTACATGATTTGCAAATATTTTCTCCCATTCTGTGAGTTGCCTTTTCACTCAATTGATTTTGTCCTTTGATGCACAGAAATTTTTTATTTTGTTGATTTTTTCTTTTGTTACATGTGCATTTTGTGTCATCCAAGAAGTCATTGCCAAATCCAATGTCATGAAGCTTTTCTCTTATGTTTTCTTCTAAGAGAAGTTCTGGGTCTTACGTTGAGGTCTTTGATCCATTTTGAGTTAATTTTTATATGTGATTTAAGGTAGGGGTCCAACTTTATTCTCTTACATGTGGGTATCCAATTTTCTCAGCATCCTTTGTTGAAACTTCTGTCCTTTCCCCATTCAATGGGCTTAGTACCTTTGTTGAAAATCATTTGACCATATATGCTAGAGTTTATTTCTGGGCTTCCTATTCTATTCCATTGGTTTATATGTCTGTCATTGTATCAATACCACACTGTTTTGATTACTGTAGTTTTGTAGTAAGCATCTGAATTTTTTTTCCCCTAACCGTAAAATGGTTCCAAAGATTAACTGAGATAATTATGTAAAAGCACCTACCAAATGAGTCCCTAAAATATACAATAAGCATGCAGTAGGTTTTTTTCCTTATAAAGTTGGGAAAACTTTTCTAGACTTGAAAAACTTTGCATATTTTATAAACTATATTTGAGGAATAAGCATTTTTAAAAATGGAAATCTTACATGAATTTCATGGGTTCAAATGTATTAATACTGGAGAACATTCATTTGAGAAATATTACTAAGCCCCTAATTGTTTTTTGTACTAGTCACTGAGGATAAATATTCAGGCAATTAGAAATAGCAGGTTGCATCTCAGGAAGTAGTGAAAAATCAAGCTGAAAAGATAGAAAAAGGCCTTGTTCGTGATGGAGGACACTGAAGAATTTTAAGCAGGGCAAATGACCTGGTCTGATGTGCATTTTAGAGCTATTACTCTAGAAGAGTGGAATTTTGGGGAAAACATAAGGGAAATCTACTATATAGGGTTATTTTCCAAATCAAATGTGTAAATTTATAAGTGCTTAGCATAGTGCTTGCATGTAAAAAATAGTTAATGACAGTTAAAAAAATCTCTTGGTTGGGGCTGGCCCGGTGGTATGGTGGTTGAGTTTGCACGCTCTGCTTCGGCGTTGCGGGGTTCGCGGGTTCAGACCCTGAGTGCGGACGTACACACCGCTCATTAAACCATGCTGTGGTGGGATCCCATGTACAAAATAGAGGAAGACTGGCACAGGTGTTAGCTCAGGGCCAGTCTTCCTCACCAAAAAAAACTATATCTTGGTCAAAAATGGTAGGAAGGACTAGAGATACAGAGTGGAATTATGCAAAGGTAGAATAGGCCCTGATGACTGACTGTGGGTTTGGGGGCTGGGAGTGGTATGGAGTCTGATATGATTTCCCACACTTATTAAGTTAATATACCAGCATTTGAAATAATTCACCAGCTGGGACCTACACAGGTTCAGTGACTTGCTCAAAGTGGCAAGGCTAATAAGTGTTGAAGTGGGGCTAGGAATCCAGATATCTTCTAAAGTAACACTCTTTACACTCTTTACCTTTGACCTGCCTTCGTGTTGAAAACTGTAAGGGATTTTTTAGAGAATTCATTCTCATATTTGTTCATTCAGCAAATATTTATTGGAGAGCTGTATGTATGGCATAGTTCTCGGTGCTAAAGATATGGCAGTGAACAAAACAGACACAAATTCCTGCCTTTTGGATCTTACATTCTAATGGAAGAAGAAAGACAATAAAATAAATAAATATATAATACGTTAGATTGTAAGTACTTGTGGAGAGAAAAAGGGAAGAGGGGATAGTTTGGATGGGGAGGAAAGAGGACTTGTACTTTTGAATAGGGTAGTGAGGAAATCTATCACTGAAAAGGAGACATTTGAGTAAAGACCTGAAAAAAACAAAGAAGCAAGCGATACAGATACCTGGGAAAAGAATGATCCAGGCAGAGAGAACAGCAAGTGCAAAGTCCCTGAGATAGAATCATGCATGACATGTTCAAAGAATAGTAAAACACCTGGAGTGGTGGAGAGGAGTAAATAAGAGGATTAGTAGTAGAGGATAAGGTCAGCGAGTTAGTGAGTGGTTAGGTCCTGTGAGGCCTGAAAGCCAGAGAAATACTTTGGTATTTTACTCTGAGGAAAAGGAAAAGCCTTTGGAAGATTTCGAGCAGGAAAGTGACATAATCTGGGTTATGTTTTAACAGAATTCCTCTAGCTGCTGTATTGCGGATTAAGCTGTAGAAAGGTAAGCACAGAAGCAAAGAGGTGAGGTATGTGGCCGCTACAGTAATACAGGCCAGAGATGATGATGGTCCAGGGTAGGGAAGGTGATAAGATAGGATCAAATTCTAAGTGTATTTTGATGTGAAGGTATTGGAATTTGCGGATAGATTTGCTATATAAGAAAAATAGAGTAGTGCAAAATAACTCAAAGGTTTTTGTTCCAAGCAACTGGAAAAAATGAAGTGGCCATTAGCTGATATGGGAAAGACTGCAGGAAGAGAGAATTGAATAGTAGGGGAAGCTCAGTTTTGGATCCTTATAAGATTGAGATACTTATAAAGCATTCAAGGGGGGAGAAGTCAAGAAGGCAGTCAGATAATCAAGTCTGAGCTTCAAAACAGAGGGCCAGGCTGGAGATATTTGGGGGTAATCAGCGTATAGATGGTATTTAAAGCCGTGAGAACACTGAGCAAGAGTAGGTGGAAAATTCAGAGGTCTAAACATGGAGTCCAGGAGGTTGGGGTGATGAGGAAGAACTAGCAAAATAGGCTGGAAAGCAGTGACCAATGGAGTTGGAGGAAAACCTGGGAGAATGGTGTCCTGTTAAGTCAGAGAGCATTAGTTTGCCAAAATCTACTCCTGGAAACAGAAATCTAGTCTTCATTTTTGGTTAACAAATTCCGTGGTAATCTCAGGCACAAATGTAAAAATTACCAAATAGTAATCCAGTGTGTGAATGAGTGGACATCAGTTAATATTTGAAAACTGAGCACACTACTACTCAGAAAAACTGAATTTCGATATGAAGTGTAAGTATATAAAAATATCAAGAATTAGTATCAAATTGACAAAGGTGTCTCTTGAAATTTACTATCTATAATGCAGGAACCAAAGATTCCCTCAGTTTTCAAACTCAGGAATTGAATAAATTTGGATAGCAAAGTGCTTTTGTATCATCTTTTCTTTTGCTTCTGTGCATATAGAGTGGAACTTGATAAATAGTTGTACTCTGGTTTTATAACTAGGTTTTTCCTGCTAATGCTTAGATTGTCTTGGCAACTGAGAATATCTACACTTTTGCATTTATGATGAAATTTAATTGTTGCCTGACATAAAAAATCTTTTATTGGGAGAAGCAGCAGTTGTGATTTTTATGAGACATTTTATTATTGTAATTGAAAGGAGTTTTATTTAATGTAAAAATATCTGGTTATTTTTCTGTTTACAGGTTTCTGAAGGATTGTCATTTTTGCATAGCAGTGTGAAAATGGTTCATGGAAATATTACACCTGAAAATATAATTTTGAATAAAAGTGGAGCCTGGAAAATAATGGGCTTTGATTTTTGTGTATCATCGACCAATCCTTCTGAACAAGAGGTAATGAGGATTTTAGTCTCTTAATTTTTTAAAGCTGTGGAAATTTGTGATTGCTTCTGGAATGGACTAGAGAATTTATAAGCCTGATAAATGTGTAGAAATAGGCTATGTGGTACAGTGGTATGTTTAAATATATAGCTTTATAGAAAATTTCTAGTGTTTATTGTACCTAAGAGTATTCTTCAGCTCATTAATTCCGCAGTAGTTAATGTTACTTGAGAAAAGGATGCTAGAGTTAAGCAAATTTGAAAACTATTGGGTTAAGTAGGTTTTTTGCTCAGAATATCAAGTACACTAACAAACATCGTGAATCTCTAGCGGTGTTTCCCCAGCTTACTATTGGACCACAAAATCTTCTTTAGGGAGCGTGATAACAACAGTAACAATGATAATAACAACTAACATTTACTGAAGCATTTTTCTAAACGCTTTTTATGTATTTACTTATTTAATTCTCGCAACAACTCAGTGAGGTATAGGAATAATACAGATGAGTAAGTTAGGCTCATGGAATAAAATAACCTGCCTAAGTTTAGGCAGGTGGTCAGTGGTGGAGCTGGGATTTGAACCTAGTCTTTCTGCTTCCAGAGCACCTGGTACTTAGTGATTTTGATACCTACCTATTTATACTTAGGAAAATATTGCAATATTTCAAGTTTTTACTATATGTAGTTGTTAAAGGGACCATGATTTGACCTAAGCTAGATTTGTAATTTAAGTAAACATTTTTAAGGGAAGCAGAAAGAATTAGTATTGATTGGTTGAGTATATACTATGGGTCAGGAACTGTGCTAGGTTTGTGTTCTATACATTTGTTTAATCTTACAATAACCTTTTGAACCTATTAACTAAATCACATAACTAGTTAGTGAAAGAACAAGGTTTCAAACAATAATCTTTTTGAGCCCATAAAACTTGAAGCCTGTGTGTGTCATAAAACATATGCCAGACCTTTCCATATTCATACTGCATCTTATAGTGATAATTTGTCATCTGGAAGAGAGCTCCAAAAATCTCAAAGTTATAAGAGTTCTTATTCTTATCTCTCAGTTTGTTGCATGCACTTTCTAGATTTGGGAATTTAGGAATTTTAGGAATGAAGGTGGTGGTGACATTTTTACTTGCATGAATGAATATGAATTTAAAACTAGATTGCTGCTGCTTGATAGTGGTTTGCTTTAATTTGAAATATTTAATTTATATAATCCTTTTTCTGTCTTATTATAGCCTAAGTATCCTTGTAAAGAATGGGACCCAAATTTACCGTCATTGTGTCTTCCAAATCCTGAATATTTGGCTCCTGAATACATACTTTCTGTGAGCTGTGAAACAGCCAGTGATATGTACTCTCTAGGAACTGTCATGTATGCTGTATTTAATAAAGGGAAACCTATATTTGAAGTTAACAAGCAAGATATTTACAAGAGTTTCAGTAGGCAGTTGGATCAGGTATTTGCCTATAAATATTTGCTTGCATTTAAAACGTATTAAATGTTTCTTTGATTTTTTTTTTCCAAAATGTATTCAGAAGATTCTCTAAAATGAGGTGAATGTCTCGTGTTTTAAGTTCGCATAAAATCAACTTAACAGAAGTAATTCTCTGAATAATGAGGATTAGTTTGTTACTATAACTTTAGTCATGGCATTTATTTACTAGAGTAAATGTTGAAATATGGTCTAAAATATTTGGCATTTTGTTTTAGGCATAGAAACTATTTTAGATATTAAAGATAAGTGTGTTAATTATCTTGCAGCAGTAGAATTAGATTTGTTCAGTCTAAAAATATATTTTTGAGAGGACCGGCCCGGTGGCGCAAGCGGTTAAGTGCATGTGTTCCACTGTGGCGGCCCGGGGTTTGCCTGTTTGGATCCCGGGCGCACACCGACGCACCGCTTGGCAAGCCATGCTGTGGCGGCATCCCGTATAAAGTGGAGGAAGATGGGCACGGATGTTAGCCCAGGGCCAGTCTTCCTCAGCAAATAAAGAGGAGGATTGGCAGATGTTAGCACAGGGCTGATCTTCCTCACAAAAAAAAAAAAAAATTTTGAGTAAATTTCAGAGTTTTCTTCAATAGACTATTGACAATATAAATGCATATCTTTTTGAGTATTTTATATTCATATTTAATATTATCACTCTTTTGAATAGTTGAGTCGTTTAGGATCTAGTTCACTTACAAATGTACCTGAGGAAGTCCGTGAACACGTAAAACTACTGTTAAATGTAACTCCAACTGTAAGACCAGATGCAGATCAAATGACAAAGGTGAGTACACATGAATTCCTGCCTTAAGTGGAGGGACAAAAAAATGAGTTAAAGTAGATGAAATGCTTCTAAAGCAAAATTTAGTCAGATGTAGTCCCCAGACAAATATTCAACTTCTTTTAATCTTAAACAGTTAAGTAATTTATGTATATCGTTGCTCTTATATAAAATTAAGATTTAAAATAAATGGAGTCCTGGGCCGGCCCCGTGGCTTGGTGGTTAAGTGAGCGCGCTCCGCTGCTGGCGACCCGAGTTCGGATCCCGGGCTCCCACCAGCACGCTGCTTCTCCGGCCATGCTGAGGCCGCGTCCCACATACAGCAACTAGAAGGATGTGCAGCTATGACACACAACTATCTACTGGGGCTTTGGGGGAAAAAATAAATAAATAAAATCTTTAAAAATCTTTAAAATAAATGGAGTCCTAACAGTCAGAATTCAACATGCAGAAATTGTGGACACCCCAAGAAATCATAGCCCTCTAATTCACTCATGTAAGCATGAATTTTAGTAGAATAAATGGTAATCTTTAGGCCTTCAAGATATTTTACTTAATCTTTCAATATTTTACTAGTTATGTAAAGAAAAAGTTACTGCCCAGCTGACTTACAAGTCCTGATTCTGAAAATTTGAATTTGTAAAGGAAAATAATTGGTTTATTACTTCCTTATTCTGATTTTTATAATTAGAATTTTTATTAAGTGGTCTATAGCATTTTGCTAAATGTTTCTGAATATTTTTTCACCATGCTGTGGCAGTTTCAGGTATGAGAAGTACTTTAATATTTATCAAAATAATTTTATTTACTTGTTTTAGATTCCCTTCTTTGATGATGTTGGTGCAGTAACACTGCAGTATTTTGATACCTTATTCCAAAGAGATAATCTTCAGAAATCACAGTTTTTCAAAGGATTGCCAAAGATTCTACCAAAACTACCCAAGGTTTGTTGTTGATCAGTTTCTTATTATAGTCAGGATTTTAGAACTTAAAATTTCCTTGACTTACTGTAATAACTCTTCCAAAGAAAGAAATATAATTTTGCTTTAGGTGTATAAATGATTATAAAAGGCTGCAGACTGAAGCCAAAAGTTTAGTAGACCTTTTTTGCATGGTCCAAAAATAATGAAATAGGATAAGAAAATTAGAAAGATACTACCTATGCAACTTGTGCACTTGAACACGAAATGTCTGAAGAAAAGTCCATAAGCTGTCATTGTAGAAATCTGTGCCTCACCAGCAATTAAGGGGATGCTTCTGTATTGATACTAGCCTCTCCAGTTCCTTTAACTCTCCCTCTCTGGCTTATTAAATCATGAGTGTAATGTAGTCTCAAAAATGTAGGTGAATGCTAAAGAAGCCACTGGTTGGAAAACTAGCAATTCCTGGTTGCAAAAATATCTCAAATGTTTAATCTATCAGATATTCATTGATTATATACTGTTTGTCTAGCCTTTTACTGAGATGCTTTGGAGACTAAAGAGGAAACATAAAGTATTGTCCTTGCTCCCTTACAGTAAGTGTTGTTGCATGAAACAACAATTAACAATACAGGACAGTGTTTAAGTTGTGTGGTATGAGTCATAAGTAATGAAGGAATTAAGAGGAGAAACATATTAGTGAAGACTTATTAGGGAAGGTTTCCATAAGGAAGCATGACCATATCTTCCCTTTTATCTGTGACATTCCCAAGTTATGCCTTTTGTCCTGGTATAATTAGCAATAGCACCCCATTTTACTCTCGAGTGTCCCAGTTTCAACCATAAATTATATTGTCACCGTACCCAAAGGGATTGGAGATTTTAGACTGTAACTGCAATGTTAATCCTAAAGAGCTGAAATAAAATTTAGTTTTATGAAAACATTTTTGCCTTTCAGCGTGTCGTCGTGCAGAGAATTTTGCCTTGTTTGACTTCAGAATTTGTAAACCCTGACATGGTACCTTTTGTTTTGCCCAATGTTCTACTGATTGCTGAAGAATGCACCAAAGAAGAATATGTCAGATTAATTCTACCTGAACTTGGCCCTGTCTTTAAACAGCAGGAGCCAATCCAGGTATGTATGTAGATTTTTTTCCTATTTATCTGCTGCTATTCAGTGATGTTAGTCAATGATAACTATCATTAAAAACAAAAGGAATGGATATACGACTTTTTAAAAATTGAGGTAAGTATAAGAGACTTTCCATTAGTCAGAAGCTATTTTGCTTATGTTTGAAGTGAACATTCGTAAAATTATAATTGAACTTTGCAAGTAAATGTCTACAGCTCTCCACAAGTTACCATCTCAGAAAATACATTATAATGAGATTTTGCTATACTGTTCCCACTGGCCTTATTGAAAGTTATAGGTTTGGGAAAAGAAGTATTTCTTTTTCTCCTGCACTTTTAAGTATTTCTGTTTCTTTGTTTTTTGTTTGTTTTGTTATTCGGGTCTTTAATTTATAGATGGTTTATGCCAGTTATTCTTCTTTATTTTATTGCTAATAAACAGATGTATCAGAAGAGGGAAAATGCTTACAGCACCATGGAAGTAATTTGTGTGTGTATTGTAAGTGAAAAATGTAATTACTCCCTGATGTAGACTCTTAAAATATTAACTTGCCACGTTCAAGGTAGTCTTGGATTTAAGAACAGTAGGGTCATACACCTGGGTTTGAATCTGGCTTTCTTCATCTCCTTACTAGAAGTATGACTTGGATAAGTCATTCCTCTCTTAAAACTTCCATTTTGCTTATTTCTAAAATGAAAGGGGTTGAGATTAAATGAAATTTTCTGGCACACAGTAAATGTTATTACATGTTTCTGCCACTGCATGGCAAAAACAACTTATTAGTAAACCATCAATTACCTGATTTAATGGTTTTATGACAGGCTATTTGTGGTCCTTCCCTCAAAAGGAGGGGAACAGAAGGAAGTCTGGTGATAAGGCAAGTGTTCCTATGGCTGAGGAAAGGGCGGATGAGGGAACTGTAGGCTCTGAAGCAGAGTTCCCCAAATATGGTCAAGGTGTCAGGAGGGAAAGTAGTGGAGCCACATGTTCACTAAGCTATGTATCAGTCAAGACAGTATCCTAAGGAACTCATCATCTGAATTCTTATTTGCCTCCATTGTTTGGTATTTTTTTTTTTTCTCTTAGTAGTCCAGCTAAAAGTTCCTTCTGAAAAATTTTAACTGAGCCTTGGCAAAACTAAGGAAAAATAAGTATTCTGCACAAGTGGAAGGTGCAGTTTGTTCCTTATAATTTAGGTATGTGGTGGTAGCTAGGTAAAAAACAAATGATCAGGGACAATTGAAGATGTTCCATTTTAGAATTTTTCCTGACAGTCCTTTTCATTTCTCTACCTTGTCTTCTTCTCTTGAACTTCATAGAAGCCAAGTGATGGAATTTAATTCTTTGGGACATCTGACTTTGCTGCCCTCAGGCTTTTATTTTTTTACCCAGTAGCTTTCCAGATAGTTGGTACTTGTGGATGAGTGATGTATTACTGAAGATATGTGAGAGTTAGGAAATTAGTCTTTATTTAAATGTTTAAACTGAGAGCAAATGTTAAATATTGTGCTTCCAGAAATGTGAGAGACTTGATTTGTATGTTTTTGTTTTCCATGCCCTCAGGCTAGCAACATGGTAAGTGTCAAAATATATAGCTTATTCTTTTGAAGATACTTTAAATTTTGGCATATATAAACTCTTGTAAAGATGCTAGACTTGAATGCATGGTTCCGTTTTTCTACGCAGATTTTGTTAATTTTCCTACAAAAAATGGATTTGCTGCTAACCAAAACTCCTCCTGATGACATAAAGAACAGTGTCCTACCAATGGTTTACAGAGCACTAGAGGCTCCTTCCATTCAGATCCAGGTATAATACTTGATTTTTTTTTCTTTAATGATGATTTTGATTCTTAAAGCAAAAGAAAGAAGTAAAGTACATTTTGGGTTTAAGTTATAAAATCTTTTATATAAAACTCAATATTATATATTAATCCATTGAATTGCATTATACACTGTTACTAAAATGTATCTACTCCTAATTAATTTAAAGAATCAATTGACAGATACCTGTATTAATGAAGTAAAATGATTAGTTGCTTTTTTTTCTTTTTTATCAGAAATGTACTATTGTAGAAGGTTTGATTTATTGTAGTTTGGATTATTTTATACCTTCTTCCTAAGTGAGTAATTAACATATGAAACAAAATGTCAAAGATATATGTGCCTTTTTCTTATGAAAATATTAAGTAGGTACTTCTCATACTCATAATTTTTTTTCATGCCTGGTAACTCAGTCTTCTGCTTAGAAATGTTATACCTTCTGCATTGAAGTTAATTTGTTTAGCAGGTAGATAGAAAAGCAGACAGTAATTTAGTGTGACCATTCGTATTCCATTGATAGTCATGCTTTTGTGTCACAAAGGTGATATTAAAGCATCTTGTACTTTGCCAAACTTTTAGTTTTGTAGCTTTGCTATTAAAATTTTGGTTCTATGGGCTATCTGTTGAGAAAAATATTTTGGATCACTATAAAAAGTGTAATTTAGTTTTTTGGCCTTTCTTTTACTTTGGAAAATAAATTCTTATGTTAAGAACATCTCACTGTATAAATGGTTTCATATTTAAAAATTTATAGTGTCTTTGCCAGTATAGAAATTCTGGTAAAGAAAAACAGAAGTTTAATTTTTAGAGTTATTACCAAAGCTTTTTTAAAATGTGAACCTAATACCACATGTATAAGGTCACTTTTTGAACTCATTTTAAGTCTTTGTCTGCTAAGTTCTTTTGTTTATTCAGAGTTGTGAAGTTGATGTTAAAATGTTTTTCCTTCTAAGGTCATACCTTCTTAAAGGTGAGGATATACTGCCTTTGTCCAAATGACATGGGATGATGGGGGAAGGTGTACTTACTTCTATTTTTCAGCCCTTTCCAAAGGAGTTGTGAATTATAGCTTCTTGAAGCATTCCCACGGGTTCTTTGTAGCCAACCTGGTTTTATATTCAGTGAGATTAGGGAGGAGAGAGAACGTTGAGTGACGTGAAAGGCCATTTTTCTTCCTAAGGGGATTAGTTTGGCCAGTAAGTATCAGCCAGTATTTTATTGAAATAGTATATAATTCAAATTGCCTTGTGCAACTTTGCTGAGGTTTAGAAACCAGCATTTCTGATATCATTCAATGTAAGTCTTTAGTCACCAGTCCAGTTAACTGGTATCAACACTGCTTGGTAAGAGTCTGATAAAGTTAAAGCCTGTCTAAGTTTTGGGAGAGTCCTAGAGCAAGAGCAAGAAACAAAAACCTTTACCTCAAGCTTCATGCAAGTGGAAGGCTGGAAAGTAACTTCTAAAATTCATTTTTGGAGTGATATTTTTAAAGTGAAGTTTGCTTAGGAATATTTAAGAGGCTAGAGAGAGTTTAGAAAAACATTTGGAAAAGTAGGTGGTTTGTAAGATTTAGAGTCTTTAGAGGCATTAATAGAAATGTATATGTGAACCAGCTTTTTAAATTATTTACCTTTAAAATGAAACATAAAAGGTATGTTCATTCTCGCTTCCTCACCACCAACTGTGGAGAAAGTATAAAACAAGAGGCCTAAGTTCCTGAGAATATGCTAGTTGGACTTCTTGAGTTTTTGTTGTTTTCCCTCTCCTGTTCTTAAGTTCTTCATGCCATCTCCTCCTAGGGAGAGAGCTCGCTCCTCATTTAGCTAAGTTAAGATTTGATTTGTAAGTTAAGATTTGCCTTTTTGTAACTTACTGCTAGATTATACAGCGACATGCACTCATGTGCTCTCCCTCACGCATGTACTCTCTCCCTGTTATCAGTTAAAGGCTGATCTTCCCTAAGGAGGCATCCTCTGGTAACAGGAGCATAGTATCTCACTGACTGCTCACTCTTGTCCATTCCCCTCTGCTGTCTGTGGAAAATGTTTTTTAAATGTAGCTTGTATTTCTTATCCTCGAATTATGTCACCCATTTAACTATTAAATTCTGAGTGGATATAAACATATAAGTCTCTTATATCTGCCTTTTAGAAATCTTGGAATAAGTTAAAGCAAATAAAATACTTGCCAGTAGTTTGACAACAGGTTCTTAGTACTTGATTCATTTCTATCTGCTAACTACAAATCAATGTCTTTAAATTTACCAAATATTATCAATAACTCCTTCCTTGATACACATTTATACTTATATTTTTTTCAGTAATTTCTTATCCTATGCTTTGCTACAAGGATCATTCTGCCCTTAAAAATGTATCTGAGATGTATGTTCTTCAGCCAGTTAGTTCTCAAGACATTTCTTGTTCTTCGCCTTGTCTCAGTTAATCCCCTATCCCCAGTTATCCCCCTTTTTCCTCTGTTATCCTCATTCATTGTTCCCAGTGCCAGTCATTTACAATATGGCATGCATTAGTTTAGAAGAAAGTTTTAAATAACTTTTTCTTGTTTCTATGAGTTATACTTGCTTAAGTATCAGAATTTAGAAGTACTTAAAAATAGAAAGAAAATTAAAATCCCCTCTCAGAGTCACCCACAGTTAATGTTTTCAGATATGTTCTTTTAGTCTTTTTTTGCTAAGTATGTAGACAGACACATATACATACACATTTTAAAAATTGGGATTATATAATAGTGTCTTAATGCATTTTCTCTTCAATATTATTAAACTATCTTTTAAAATGTATTTTAGAAAGTTTGTATTATATTCCATCATATGGATATTTGTAACAGCTAAGAAATCCCTTATTTAAGAGGAATAGTTTTACATGACTTTGTACTTGATTTTCCCTCACTGTGAAAGATAGGAAAACTTAGGTGTTTCTATTTTTAAAAATAAATGGGGAGGACCGGCCCTGTGGCTTAGCGGTTAAGTGCGTGCTCTCCGCTACTGGTGGCCCGGGTTCAGATCCTGGGCGCGCACCGACGCACCACTTCTCCGGCCACGCTGAGGCTGCGTCCCACGTACAGCAACTAGAAGGATGTGCAACTATGACATACAACTATCTGCTGGGGCTTTGGGGAAAAAAAAGGAGGAGGATTGGCAATGGATGTTAGCTCAGAGCTGGTCTTCCTCAGCAAAAAGAGGAGGATTAGCATGGATGTTAGCTCAGGGCTGATCTTCCTCACACACACAAAAAATAAAATAAAATAAATGGGGAGTTGTGTTATCAGAGAAAGAAATTAGGAATGAGACCAGAGAGTTTTGGTACCATATGCTAGTTATATGACCTACCATGATTTCAAGTAAGGTCTTCTGAGCATGTTTTGTCATCTATAAAATTGAAAACTGATAACTATTCTCTTTCAAATAGTTGTTGAAAAGACCAAATGATGTAAAACTCATAAAAGTTTATTTCAAACTATGTGACAAATTAGCCATGTAAATGCAAAACTTTTTAATATGTGAGAGAAAGGGTGAGAGAGTCTTTCCCTAAGATTGATTTGATTTATTTTCTTATTAGGAACTCTGTCTAAACATCATTCCAACCTTTGCAAATCTTATAGACTACCCATCCATGAAAAATGCTTTGATACCAAGAATTAAAAATGCTTGTCTACAAACGTCTTCCCTTGCTGTAAGTAATTGCATGTTAATTTTTGTTTTTTTCTCTTCTCATAGGTTTATATCATTTTCTTATTGTTTAATAACTCTTTAATAGTTTGTTCATATATTTCATCTTATTTGTAGGTAACCTATATATAGTACCATAAAAGCAAGCAATATCTATAGTTTCCCTGATGTATACTTTTATAATACTGCATCCCTGACCTTCCTCCCTGTTCCCTAACTTTGAATGCTTCAGTGGAAAATTTGAGTATTTTTTCTCCTTAATCCTTTTCTGCTATAACTCACAATTTATTTTGTTGGTAGTTTTAAAATAATCGTGTGAATTTAACTTGGTGTATAAACCTAAAAATTTTTTGAATAGCTTCCTTTTATAAACTGCCTTTATTTTTAGTCATTTATCTCTAAATTTTTTTAGCCCCTACTTACTTGCTTAGTTTCAAAAAAAGTAAATACAATAAAGCAGTGAATTAACAAGAATACAAGTGGAGGGAAGTAGTTGTACTCAAAAATCTGGGCCAGGAGTTGCCTCTTTTGAATACAAAATTTTAACACTAAGTTACTTGGTAGTCAAAGAGGTAGAGTAAATAACATAAATCTCATTATCTCACATGGGGAGCAATAAGTGTTCCCAGCCTTTTCTCTAACACTAAATCATAAGAATTTATCTCATTGATATTTCTTTACAGAAGTAACATTGAATACTCTCTTCAAATAGCAGCTTTAGAAAAGAGGGAGAAATATCCTTCGTTCACCTAAACAGCTCTTTATATTGATGTTTGATAATGGCCATATTATTAAATTTGCATTTTATAAAGATAGATCTTATCCATCTTTATTCAATGAAATGTGAATTTAAATAAAAATGAACGTTTGTAGCTTAATAGAATTATAGGCAAAAGCAGTTTAAATAATGACAAGATTTTACCTTATAGCCATCTAATCCATTTTAGTTTATGTTTTTCTTGGTAGAAAGGCTCTGAGATGGAAAACAACACCAAAGTAGGAAAATATATCATTGCTTACTGATATGAACAAGAATGAAATGAAGTAAAGAAACCTAAGTTTTGATTCTGACTCTCCTAACTATTCCTGTTCCCTTAGACAAGTCACTATGCCTCTCTGAGTCTCTTTCTTCATTAGCATTAAAAGGACTTGAAATGCAGTCCTTTTCTCTGAAATTTTCTAATTTTTTTTTTTTTAAGTTACCTAAAAGTGTCAGGCATATAGACGACTTTTCCTTTTTTCTTTTTGGCTGCAAAGATTCGCCCTGAGCTGACATCTATTGCCAATCTTCCTCTTTTTGCTTTAGGAAGATTCGCCTTGGGTAACATCTGTGCCAATCTTCCTCTATTTTGTATGTGGGTCGCCACCACAGCTTGACTGCTGACGAATGGCCTAGGTCCGTGCCTGGGAGCTGAACTCGGGCTGCTGAAGTGGAGCTCGCTGAACTTAATCACTAGGCCATAGGGTTGGCCCTGAAATTTTCTAATTTTATGATTGACTTTTCAAAATAGGTAGTAGTAATATACAGCTTAAAATTCAGTTTTCAAAATGCCCTTTAAAACATCACAAAGCCATACTATATTTTATGGCAGCATAAATTTATTTTAGCATACATTTTTTGAAAGTACATGTTCTGGTTTAGTTCGAAGTTTGTATGCAGAGTGAGGCAGGAAGCATGAATTTTTAAATTAAATGATCAGTATTAATGCCCAGGGATGTTTATATCTCTTTTTAAGATGCCAACTTAGCCCTTAAAGGATATCATTTGCAAGGAGTTATAATGAATGTATTTAGAACAGTAACTCTGGAATGGATTTGCATTTTATATACTATGTTCAATGCTCCTCCTTCAGAGTGGCAAATTTGAACTCCTGAGTTGCATTCATAGACATAGGCCTCTAAGGTTTAAAAATTCTAACTAGGAAATTCTTGAAACATGAGTCATGAGTTAGAATTGTATTTTAATACTGTTCCCTAAAAATAAAGAAAAATAAATTCTACACAGAATTAGGTAAAATGCCCTCAAGAGCTCTATTAAATAAAATAAAATTAAACTGATATTTCCAGTTTCTCTTTATATATATTTATAGACACACACACACATATATAAAGAATGCAGCAATTCCTTTTATAAAACTGATTCTAAGAGCAAGTTAAGCCTTTAGATATCTTTTTGAATTTATAATACTGCTTGTGTTTAAATTTCAGAAAACAATTGTACATTATTTTTCAGAAATTTTTTTCATCTTTCTTGCAGAAATATGGTGCTTTTTTAACCAACTAAATTTTCTGCTTCTTTTAGTTTAGTTTTTTTGAAAACTGGAGTTTTATTGATATTATGATCCTGACTCAAAGTGTTCTGTCTTAACAAATTCTAGCTAAAAAAATAGTGTGAAATATTTATCAAAATAGTCAAATGAATATAGGTAGAATTTTGATAAAAGAGCTCCTAAATATCAGGTTTTAGTAGCTGTATTAAAGATTTAGAAATAGAAAACTTTATGTAGGACAAATATAGATACTCTTCACATGTTGTTAAAATATTTAGTTTAAGGATGAATTGAACCTGAGTTAGAGAAAAGTACTGGAAGCCCAGTAAATTGATAACTTGGTGGGAGAATGTAGTCCTTTTTATAATTCCGGTGTTCCCAAGGAAATGTTCTTCATAAACATATATATAGTAAAGCTTCTCAATCCTAATCACTTTATTTAAAATGATCCAAAATTGAAGTCATTCCTTCCCTTTAGCTAACTAGAGTCCTGGTAATAGTAAATTCTTTCTGAAACAAGTCAGAGGAATTAGTAAATATATGAATTTCCTTTATTAATAAAGGATAAGAGCTTTTAAACTCACTTTTATTCTTGAGATTTTAACATATATCTATGTGAAGATTAAATTTACACTTAAATATTTTGTTCTAGATTGCAAAGACTTCAAATGACTAATGCAATTTTTCTCTTTTAATAGGTTCGTGTAAACTCATTAGTGTGCTTAGGAAAGATTTTGGAGTACTTGGATAAGTGGTTTGTACTTGATGATATTCTGCCCTTCTTACAACAGATTCCATCCAAGGAACCTGCAGTCCTCATGGGAATTTTAGGTAGCTGAAAACTTAATGTTGTTTGATGCTACTTTATCATTTTATAGTCATGTAAATAAATTTTACAGTCTATAAAACCATTGTACTCTTCTTTTATGTATATAGCATTCAGTAGTTGAAGAATGATAGGATGAATGCCATGATATAACTTTTCTTTGTGTTAATTTTAGCAAAAGCAGTAGAACCTTGACATTTACAGAGGAAAAAGACATTTGGGAATCTTAGCTTCACAAATATTGTGATAGCATTTAGTTTTCCCTGTAAAATGGTACCAAATAAGAGGCAAACAAAGCGACTTAAAATGTTCATACCAGTCTTAATAATAATACCTGATGTTTATTTGGTACCTAATTTGTAAGAGACATTATGTTGAGTATTTTTTCTGCATTGTTTTATTTTATCTTCTCCAAAATCCAATGAAATAGGTACTATTATTTCTGTTTTACAATAAGGAAACTGAGGCTCAGAGAAGTGAAGTAAGTTATTCAAGATTACACAGCTGATAAGTGGTAGAGCTAATTTTTAATTTAGGTATGTTTAAATCTTAATCAGTATGTTTCACTGCTAAGTAATGTGCTGATGAAGTATATTAGCCTTACAGCACATTCTATTCTATCAGCATAATTACAAATTACTCTGTCAAGAAACTCTGAAATTGTTTATAAATAAAGTTAAGAAAATCCAATATGAAATTGCTGGGGGTCTGCTGTATTAATAGAAACAGACACAGCTGTAGAATCACAAAAACATTAAAAAGTTCACTTTTTACTAAATTCTAAGTTCTTTGTTAATTTTGAAGAAAAACTTTACTTGGCTGTGTATTTTTAACACTTGACTATAGTGCCTGATCTGTAGAAAGCCCTCAGTAAATATTTGTAGGACTACTCAGCAAGTAATTTATTGTAGACCTCTGTAGACATAGAACTTTTGGGATAACGTATGAAACTTTTGGGCTCAAAGAAATTAGTCTTCTTGAGGAGGAGTTTGACATAGTGGAAAGAGCCCTAGCCTCAGTCCTGGCTGTGTCAGTTCCTGGAGTGATTTTGAAAAGTTTCTTCATCTATCAAATGAGAATAAAAATAACATCATTGTAGGAGTCTTGTGAGAATTCAGTGAAATCACTGAAGGGAAAGTAATAAGCATAGTGCCTAGCAAATAAGCATTAGTAGGTGCTTATTAAAGTTATTCCTTGAGTATATAAGTGAAGTGTATATTAACAGTAGAATAATAGGAGATGGTGTGTTTAAATCTTTGGATTATATACAAAATGCTTATAACAGAAAAGCACTCAGAGAATGAGGAGCAAATGTGTTCAGTTTACTAAATGAAGGCTTTGTGGAATAGGTGTAACAAGCAGGGTCTTGAAGGTCAAGTAAATAGGATTGTGTGGAGTTGAATTAAGCTATTAAGGTTCACCCATGTTGAGTCTAATTGGTTAAAGAAGTGAATAAAAGTATAGGATCTATACTTAACACACTTTAAAATCGATGTCTCAAGTTTGAGTGAGAGGTTTGAAATATATATTTAGATGTTTTCAGGATAGACAGACGTTCTGTAACCTTACTGCTGCACTGTAAGAACTGTACCTAGTTCTGATAGGCTTTTAATGTTATACTATCATTAAATGTGCTGTTAAACCAAAAGAATACAGGGTAAATATGTCATAGTGTTTAAATCTAAACTGATGATAAAGCTGAAATCATTCTGATCCATATGTAAGAGCATCCTCATTCTAAGCACTGATAAGGAAAAATTTGTAACTACACTAATTATCAAGACATTTTATATAGATACACTGTTTTCCTAATTTCTATTAATTTGTGGTGTTGAATGATAAAATTTGTCTCATTCTTTTCTAACAGGTATTTACAAATGTACTTTTACTCATAAGAAGTTGGGAATCACCAAAGAGCAGCTTGCTGGAAAAGTATTGCCTCATCTGATTCCCCTGAGTATTGAAAACAATCTTAATCTCAATCAGGTAGGAGTAGTTTTGTGCTTTATTCAATTTATTCAGCTTATTGTTTTCTTGGCATTTAATATATAATATATTATATGTAAATATTACTAAAAGAAGGAAAAATATGCCACAGAGTTAAATGAAGAAAGTTTATGGGTTCAGAGTAACGAGTATATGAGGTGAAAGGATGGATTTTTGCAGGCTTCATTGGGAGATAGTAAATGAAAAGAATGTTGAAAGATGTGTAGGATTTGAGGCTCCTTAAAATTTGGGGATTGGAGGTTGACATGAACAAAGAAAAAACTTAATGCTGTAATGTGTCTGGGGTATGTATTCATTATTTATTGTTACATAACAAATCACCACAAACTTGATGATTTAAAACAACAGACATGTATTATCTCATAGTTTCTGTGGGTCAGCCAAGCCAGGGATGGATTCTCTGCTCAGAGCTTCTCACAATGCTGCAATCAAATGCTGAGGTCTCATCTGAAGGCTCAACTGGGGGAAAGATCTGCTTCTAAACTCACTTACATGGTTGTTGGCAGGATTGAGTTCCTTTTGGGCTGTTGGACTGAAGGCCTCAGTTCCTAGCTCTCTGTTAGCTGGATGCCACTGTCAATTCCTTACTTCATGGGCCTCTCCAACGTGGCAGCTTGTTTCATTGAAGCTAGAAAGAGAGAGTCTGCTAGAAAGATGGAAGTTACAGTTTCTTATAATGTAATCAAGTAAATGACATCCCATTAGCTTTGCTGTATTCTGTTGGTTACAGGCAAGTCACAGGTCCTGCCCACGCTCAAAAATAGGGGATTACACAAAGACATGAGTAGCAGAGTGAGGAGATAATTGGGAGCCATTTTAGAGTCTATCTGCCACAAAGAATGAATAATCCAGTTTGACTGAGAGATGCCTATAATACAGTAGGGGAGTAATGGGAGAAAGACAAATTGAGACTAGAATTAAATGCCTGTCTGATTTAGATATTTGAGCTTTCAAGATGTGGTAAGTGTTAGAGCAAAGGTGTAATGTGTTCAAAGATTATTATAGAATTATCTCTCTACGTACCTCTATCACTGGAGTATCACAGCTGTATACTAATGTGTCTGACTCTCCTGGAAGGCTGGTTATTATCGCTTATTCTTCATTATATCCCCAGCACTTAGTGCAGTGCCAGAAACAAAAACAGTTATCGAATTGAGAGAATTTGAGGTACAAAGTAATAACAAGGCATTTTGTTTACCATAGAAATAGTATTTAATGAAGTATAAATTGAAAAGACTGGGAAGGGTTACTGTTTAATTGAGAGTGTCAGAAATGGATAGGCAGGCAAGATTTGGAATTAAGGACTGAAAGTGAATTAGAGCAGTAAAGGAAGCAGAAAGCTGGGAGTTAAGCAAGAGAGCTTTTGGCACATGGGAGATGCTGAGGGAATGGAATTTTGGAGTTAGAGAAATTTGTAAAATTAATCAGATCCAAAATTTCATTTGAAGTGGTAGGGTAAGCCTCTGAAAGTTTGTGTCCCTAGATTTCAGTTTTTGGCTTGATAGTTTCTTCATATCTTGGATGGCAGGGTTGAGTTTATGACTGGCAGAAAGAGAGACAGTGAATATTGGGAAAGAATAGAATAATAAGGTGCCTAGGATAGTCTTCAACTTTTGGTCATTTCTGTTCTTACTTTCATATTTATGATTTGGGGTGTTTGAAAATATTCCCAAATGCTTATTTCAGGATATATAATTCCATTTGAAATGTGGTATTAGTTTTCTTCAGCTGTATGGTTAATTTTTAAGGAGCCTATTTTCATCAATAGGAATACTTTGATTCGTATCTTCTGGTATTTTACAGTACAGTAATCTCCCCTTATCCAAGGGGGATACGTTCCAAGACCCCCAGTGGATGCCTGAAACTGCAGATAGTACCAAACCCTATATATCCTATGTTTTTTCCTATACGTACATACCTATGATAATTTATAAATATAATATAATTTATAAATTAGGCACAGTAAGAGGTTAACAACTAATAAAAAAATAGGAAAATTATAACAATATAATGTAATAAAAGTTACTGTAGTGGCTTGCCCAGTGGTATAGTGGTTAAGTTTGTGTGCTCTGCTTTGGCAGCCCGGGATTCACGGGTTCAGATCCTGGGCACGACCCTACTCACGGCTCATCAAGTCATGCTGAGGCGGCGTCCCACATAGAGCAACTAGAAGGATGTACAGCTATGACATACAACTATCTACTGGGGCCTGGGGGAGAAAAAAAGGAGGAAGATGGACAACAGATGTTAGCTCAGGGCCAATCTTCCTAAAAAAAAAAAATTAATTAAAAAAAAAGTTACTGTAGATCTTAGCAACCTCAGCATACAATTTTTTTTCTTTCTTTAAGTTGAGAACTTTCACTTAAAAGAACTGCTTTACAGCTTCTCCTTGGCGTATCTGAATCGCCAGCATCACTACTCTTGTGCTTTGGGGCCATTATTAAGTAAAATAGGAATTACTTGAACACAAGCACTATAATACTGCACCAGTCCATGGCTGCTAAGTGACTAAAGGGCAGGTAGCGTGGATATGCTGGACAAAGGGATGATTGACGTCCCAGGTCGGATGGAGCAGGACAGCACGAGATTTCATCATGCTACTCAGAATGGCGTGCAATTTAAAACTTATGAATTGTTTATCTCTGGAATTTTCCATTTAATATTTTCAGACCGCGGTTGACAGCAGGTAACTGAAACCCTGGAAAGCAAAACCACAGATAAGGATGGGGAGCTACTGTAGTTACCATGGATGTTGTTTGCTTTCCTGTTCATTTCATGGACATTGTTCCTAATTTAAGACTGCCCTCTTCTGTCAGTTCTGATTTAAAATAATCTAAGTAAATTATGCATTATATGAAAAAGATAAAGTAACTTAGGAAAATACATTCTTAGCATTTGATTAAAAAGCAGCAAATACCATGTAGCAATCAAAATAATCACAACTTGTGTTGTAGGGTTCCTAAGATTCAATGATTCACTACGAGGACTCACAGGCCTTAGCATGTGGTGCTCACAGCCATGATTTATTATGGTGAAAGGGTACAAAGCAAAATCAGCAAATGGAGAAGGCTCCTAGGGCAAAGTCTAGGGGAAACCAGGGTCAAGCTTCCAGAGTCGTCATCTGGTAGAGTCACACAGAACACTTATTTTCCCTGGTAATAAGTTGTGGCAATATTTGTGAAATGTTGCCAACCAGGGAAGCTCATTAGGAACTCAGTGCCCAGAGTTTTTATTGGGGGCTGATCAAGTAGCTCCCTCTGCCTGTCATGTAATCAAATTCCAGACTCCCAGAAGGAAAGCAGGTGTTCAGCATAAAACATTTTTTGTACAGTTTAGGCACAGTGAGCCACTGTGATCATTTAATGGTGGGAACCCTTCTGGACACCGCCAAGGACCAACTTTGCAAGCAGGCCTTTCCAAGGATAGCAGTTCAGGCCTACTATGTTAACTCTTCTTTGCCAACCACGTGCAACAATATGGATGAATCTCACAAACATAATGCTTAGTAAATGAAGCCAGATGCAGAAGAGGATCTGCAGAATGATTCCATTTACATAAAGGACAAAAAAACAGTCAAAACTACACTGCTAGAAGTCAGAATAATGTTTACTCATAGGGCGACGGGTTGGGAAATAACTGGAAGGGGGGCACAAGGAAGCTTCTGGGGTCCTGTCAATGTTCTGTTTCTTCATCTAGCTAGTGGTTAAAATCAATTTGTGAGTTTTTTGAGATGCGCACTTGTATACTTTTCTGTTAGTATGTTGTATTTCATTAAAAAGTTAAATGACTTAATTTGACTTAAATGACTTTCAGCAGGGAGTCAGTCATGGTAAACTGCTGAGGGTTTATGCCTTTAGTTACCCTCATGGTAAGACAAAGGATAAACGGATGATAGAGCATGATGAGAGGCAGTGTGATGTAGTAGAAAAGAGCAGAAGCTTTGGAGACAAACTTAGTATGAATTCTAATTCTGCTGTATGTTATTTAGTATCTCTAAGTTAAGTTGCTTTCTCTCTTGCTGAGCCTGTTTTCTCATTTATAAAACAGAAATTTTAATAAACCTACTTTGAAGAGTTGTGGGAAATAGTAAAAGAGTGTATGTGTAAGCACTCAGCACAAAGATGTAATTACAAGATTTAGGGAGGAGAAGAAAGCAGTTTCTAGATTCTTCCTGTAATATATGGTATTATTCTAATGAACTGTTTATGATGATCCTGAAGTACCATAAAAATTATCGTTTAACCGAAGTTTAACCAAAGCTTAAACTGTGTTAATACGTAGCGTTAGATATACTTTATGAATACTAATTATTTCAAAGTTAGATTATGTACATTTAATATTTCTACTAACTTTTTAGAAAACAAGGTTTATTTTAGCCAAACTTGTCGTTTTTATAAGAATCTGAATAAACAGTAATTTTTATGCATTATTAAGCAGATTGTTTCCAGATATGCACAAATTCAGATGGTCAGTTTCGGATTATTCTAGGAAAATCGATATGTAGTAACTGCTGGGGGTGAATTTATATAAGACCCCTGAATAAGAGCTGTTACACCATTCAGGATATAAAACTTATTGAGACATGTTATCTGGAACTTAAAAGCCTCATCAACTATATCACCAACCTACAAAAGATATTGTAAAAGCTTGCTATGATATGCTGAGTTTAAATATACTATTCTTGTGACATCAGTGCTATGCCTAGGTCTTATTCTGGTAAAAATAGAGAATATTATGATTAACTCGTTATATTATCTTATTAGATGACATTTGCTGCTAATTTAAAACATTATAACCATATCAATTTCTCATTATACCAGTTCAATTCTTTCATTTCCGTCATAAAAGAGATGCTTAATAGATTGGAGTCTGAACATAAGACTAAACTGGAGCAGCTTCACATAATGCAAGAACAGCAGAAGTAAGTAGGCTGCATATGAATTGCACATCGTCCAAGAGTGAGATTCAAGTTATCTCGTTGATTTTCTGGAATATGGACTAGAAAAATTGATGGGTTTCAATTTGACCATATAGAAGACATTTAAAATTTTTCCAAAATACTAAGTTGAACTGAGTTAGAATAGAATGTTGTTGAAAATCTGATGTCATTTCTCAGCACAAAAGTATAATATGATATAATCTTAGCATTTTCTCTATATAAAGAAAATTCTATTTCTGAGACAATCTCTTCTTAGCATTAGCTGCTGGCATCAGGGTGCTGATGACCAAGAGGACCACTTGTAAATATTTTTCGAACCTATGAAATCCTGGTGTTTTGATTTCTCCCTTTCTCTTTTCTCTTACTCCAGAAACATTTATAGAGCATTCATTGCGTATGTAATACCACAGCATCTACCTCTTTTTTTTTTAGGGAGGATTTTCTAAATTAGTTCCAGAATACTAGTATTCAAAAGAAGAAAGGAAAGGTGAAAATTATTCCCTGGAGAATGCCTTTATTAAAATCAAATCTCCACTATATTCTTTGCCCCAGAGAAAAACACATGATTTTAGGATGCCTGTTAAAGTTTAGCCTTGAGCCAAAAGACATCTGAAAATCAGTAAAATTGATATTAATCATGAGTAAGATCCTCAAATAGAAGCTTTTTAGCTTCTCCCCCAGTGTGAGATGAAGGCTTATGGAAGTAAATACACAAGGTGTAGAATGATATGAAATAAATAGCCCTTTGTATGCTCTAAAGTGTTCTGTGATATATTGTATTTATGATGTATGATGGACTGACTATATTAACATAGGCACCCTGAAAAATAATTTTTAAAAATTTATAACAGAAATTTTTAATGTCTGGTATTTATACTTGAGGTGTAAATGAACCTTCTCTTTTTTTTCTTTCTATCTAAATCTTGCTTATTTTTCAAGGCATAGATTTGGCCCACATCACAGTGATTGTAGCATTTATTGTTAGGATCACAGATTCTGACTTAATCACGTTAAGTTCCCCATATCATAGCTTGTCTCTGGTGAGCTGTAGCTCTCTGATGGTAAGAACTATGCTTGCCTGCTTATATGACCTCCTGAGTAAATTTCTCCAGTAAATCTCAAATGTCGAGTTAAAAAAAGGCTTGTATACAAATGTTAATATTTTGGGCAAGCAGACATTAATAGTAGTAAATAATGAAAAAGATTATGACTCTCCTTAAAGAATGAAGTTGCAGTTTGTTTAGGTTTTAATAAAGTCCATGTGGATGAACTATTTTTAATAGGAGTATTTTAAAAATATGCATTTATTTTTATTGCTTTGTCGTAATTCCTCTCTCTCCTGCAGATCTTTAGATATAGGAAATCAAATGAATGCTTCTGAGGAGACAAAAGTTACAAATGTTGGGTCTCAGGTAAGAAGATATTTAGAAAAAGTGCTTGACAGTGTGCTTCATTTGGGGGGCTTTTGATCTTTAAACAGTAAAATCACAATTTTTTTGTGTGTGTGTGAGGAAGATTGGCCCTGAGCTAACATCTGCCAATCCTCCTCTTTTTGCTGAGGAAGGCTGGCCCTGGGCTAACATGCATGCCCATCTTCCTCTACTTTATATGGGATGCCACCACAGCATGGCTTTGCCAAGCAGTGCGTCGGTGCGTGCCCGGGATACGAACCGGTGAACTCTGGGCCGCCGCGGAACGTGCGCACTTAACCGCTTGTGCCACCAGGCCGGCCCCCAAAAATCACACTTTTTTGAAGGCATTCAGGTGGTTGACTTTTTTCTGTTTCAGCAGATTGACAAAGTCTTTAACAACATTGGAGCAGACCTTTTCACTGGTGGTGAATCAGAAAATAAAGAGGATGGGTTACAGAATAAACATAAAAGAGTAAGTTCCTTACTGTTCCTTTAGTACTCTTATTTATGTTATAGGACTTCCTATAAACCATAGATTTTTGTTGGGATGTACTGTTTAGCATATTAACAAGAAACATTCTTTAATTATGGAATTATGAAATTTAAAAGTTATCAGTGGAACATGACCTGACCGATGTTGAAAATAAATGTGGTTAAGATTTTTAGCTTCCTTTATTATTCACTCTCCTACTTGGTAACATTTCTAGATCATCTGACTCCTTTGTCCTTTCTGCTGCACTTTGCCGGTCACACCCCTTGATAAATTCCACTGTCTCTCTTCTCTGCTTCTTATTTTGAATAACAGACTATAAAATGATACTTTCCAATTGAAATATTGGTTATCATTCAATATAAAAAATATGTCAATTGTGAATTTCTGCCAAGGGCAGTTTTCTTCTGTTCATTCAATAAATACAAGTACCTGTGTGTGTAAAGCCAGGGAGCTACTGGACATCGTGGTTTATGAAATTATAAGAGAACATACTGTGAGCTTATAGGTTAGCAAGGTTGGTAAAAGAAAAAGACAAATGTGAATTCAATGCAGATATTAACAGTGAAAGAAACTGTTTGTTTACTTCTTCGTTAGCTTTTAGGTGAGTTAACTAAAATATTTTTGGAGTGAGATGGATTAGAATTGAAGAAGAATCTCCCAATTTTATAAAATGAAATCACCTAATCATATTCTCATTGTCTGGAAAAAGATGATTCTAATAAATGATTTTAAAGTAATAATTGTTTTCATACCAGAAATATTTTAGCACAGATCTTGTGAGTTTCTACCTAAAGTTAAATCTTATAATAATTCGAAATATAACTTACCTGTGGCAATCACCAATATAGGAGTAGTTTGCAAACTACTTGGTATTGTCAAACATATCAAGACATACTTTACAAAAAAAAGAAATCTTCTGTTTCACAAATGGAATTATGAAGTTTCTATTTGACTTTTCATTTTATTTTGTTTTAAGGCATCACTTACACTTGAAGAAAAACAAAAATTAGCAAAAGAACAGGAGCAGGCGCAGAAGTTGAAAAGTCAGCAGCCTCTTAAACCCCAAGTGCACACACCTGTTGCTCCAGTCAAACAGGTCCGAGTTCATTTCTTTTGCATAATTTCAAGCATGCTACTGTTAAAGAGTAAGGTAGTGTGGAACTTAGTGTACCTACTAGTGTTTGTATAAAAATGTATTTCAAAGAATACTTTAATAGGCAATGTCTAAGTATGGGCATAAGAAATTTTCCAACAACTCCTCAATAGCCTACCTAATGTATAATGTTTCATGACAGTGCTTGTTGTCAGTAAAGAAGAAACTAGATGAAGAGGAGGGTTTCTTAAAAAATATTGTCTCATTTTACTAATTCAACTTTATTCATTTTGAAATGATCAGGAATATTATATTCATGCATTTGTATATTTTTGAGCAGAAAGTAATTTTCAGTTTTTGGCTTTTTCAATTACAGAGAGATTTGTAACTTGATTTAGGAATATTTACCTATATGTCCTGACCAGTATTTATTTCCTACTATGCACTGTTCTAGGTGCTGGTGCTTTAGGAATGATTAAGGTCCCTGCTTGTAGAGAGTTGACACTCTTACTGGTTTCAGAAATAACTTTATCTTAAAAGCTTTCTTTAAATTATTTTTTTGTTACCTCTTAATCACTAAAATTCTTCCTCTGAGAAGAATCTTTGTGGGCCAAGAGGCAAAAGCAAGAATATTCTGTAAATACGTATATAAGAATAGAAAAAACAAATTTTCACAAAATTTTGATGAAATTCAAAATATAGAAATAATAGAGTATCCTTTTTTTGTAATACAGATCATCTACTAATGAGAAAAATGCAATTCTGTTTTTTAGGGGGGTGGAGGAGACAACATTTCATTTAATTGGAGTTTAAAGTTAGTGTTCACTATCATCAAATTGATTGTAAATATTCCTCTGTAAAAACCATGCAAAAATGTGTGGCAGGCTGGATTGACCTGTGGGCTATGGTTGGCTGACTTGGTGTAGACTGTTGAGTTTAATTTTAACTTGTCCTTTATAATATAATCTATCAAATGTTTACTAATTATAAAGTAATCTGGAATTTTTGGAGATAAAGTAATTCTCTCATATTTTTCAGACTAAGGACTTGACGGACACATTGATGGATAATATGTCCTCTTTGACCAGCCTGTCTGTTAGTACCCCTAAAGTTTCTGCTTTAAGTACCTTCACTTCTGTTCCTTCCGTGGACCTTGACATGATGTTTTCTACACCAGTTGATAATACAAAGAGAAATTTGACAAACGGCCTAAATGCTAACATGGGCTTTCAGACTTCCGGGTTCAACATGCCAGTTAATACAAATCAGAACTTCTTCAGTAGTCCAAGTACACCTGGAGTGACCAAGATGACACTGGGAACACCTTCCACTTTGCCAAACTTCAGTGCTGTGAGTGTTCCTCCTGCTGGTGCGAAGCCGACTCAACAAAGACCCACAGATATGTCTGCTCTTAATAATCTCTTTGGCCCTCAGAAACCCAAAGTTAGCATGAACCAGTTATCACAACAGAAACCAAATCAGTGGCTTAATCAGTTTGTACCTCCTCAGGGTTCTCCAGGTATGGGCAGTTCAGTAATGGGAACACAGGTGAACATGCTAGGACAATCTGCCTTTGGTATGCAGGCTAATCCTTTCTTTAACCCACAGAACTTTGCACAGCCACCAACTACTATGACCAATAGCAGTTCAGCTAGCAATGATTTAAAAGATCTTTTTGGGTGAGGTATCTTGCTCCTCTTTTTGAAGGATTACTTAGGTTTTAATCATGGGTAAGCTGATTTACATCTTTATATAGTTGGCTTGGAGGAACTACTTCTCTGGGAAACTGAATGGTTCTAGGACATCAAACACCTGTTTCCTTGCCAGCATAGTAGTTGTACGGACTCCTAACAGTTGAGTTTTTTAAAGCACGGAGGACTTTTTTCCTCTTACCAACTCGTCTTCAGGTTTTTAAAAGACCCAACCCTTACCAGTCTCAAAGAGAAAAAAGACACCTGAGTATCTTGAATAGCAGAATTTTTTAATCAAATGTTTATTTTGCCTTGTAAATCTTGGTGTTATTTAAAAAATTGAGTTGATGGTAATTGCAAGTTTCATCTATTAAATAATACATGGTACACAGTCTGCCTTCACAAGTCATTAGTCTTCATTTTGATATGTGAAAAATCTTGATGCTGTATTGATTTGTTTGCATTTAGTTACGACTGAGTGAGAAAATGATAACGAAAAGGATCAAGATCACTTGCTTTTTCCAATCTTATTTACTTCTCAGATGAACTAGTATTTAGTACAAAAGACTGAGCAAATACTGCAAAATTGAACTCAATGTTGATCTCATTGGCTCAGCTAAAGGCATTATTAACCATCTTAAATGCACACTAATCATTATAAATTATATTTTAGCATGGTCTGCCTCAAATAGTAATGTATTTTTCTGCATTTACTTGGATATGTTTAGAATCATTTTTTTCCTGCTGTGTCACAGACAGAAGAGGTATGTACTGATTTGTATGGGTATTTGACAAAGCCCTCTGATGTGATTTCCCTGACTACTGCTTTCATATTTCATTTTGAATTCAAACTTCTGAGGGTGCAGCATATATGAATTGCATTTTCAAAAAGAGATTTGTAAGAATTAAACTATATTTAATGAGTAAACTTTTGAGATTTCTGTTGTATTGTTTCAAATGTAATAAACTTTACTTCTCTAAAAATGAGCAGTTGTATCTCTGGTTACAACAGATTAATTTTCAGCTTACCATGATAAAGTCTGACCTCATCAATTACTGCACCTGAGGGTTAATTCTTTTCTAGGAATTTCAGGAATCTTTTGTTCGAACATTTTCATGTTCATAATTAGCCATTTTTAGAAAGGAGAAAATAAATTCTTCTAACAGGAAACATGCTTTATTTTTCAAAGCCTTTCTCTGATAATTTTTCTTTGATTTGCTGATTATTCAACCACGGAGCCTTATGCTATAAATGTTATTTGTATTTTGTTAAATTATATTCTGTCATTATTTGATAACTTTAAAATGATCTTGCAGAGAGCTATATATGTATTATAGTTGCTGCCGTAGAGTTTGTGGTTTTTAATCATCTGATACCAGCAATCATTTAAAATAAATCTTATGAAGTTTAGTGTGCTGATAAAAGTTTATTCATTGAAGTATATGTATATATACACATGCACTAAATATATACATTGAATATACAGTACTTGATTATAAAATGTAATTTGATAATATTGCTGGTAGCATTCAGTAAGAGCGTACTTTAAAAAATAAAAAGTCAGCTTTACGTCTGGTTTCTATATGACCTGTAGTTTGTTACATGTTTTTAGAAAAGGACTCATGGGAATGCTGAAGAAATTTATCCAAGAAATGAAAAGCACTAGGAAGATCAAATATTTTTGTCAAATACCTTCACACCTTGACTAGATTATCTGTCTTGTTTATAACCCAATATTAATATTTCTCTTGGGAAAAGTTTACATGTGGAATAAAATTGCTTAATGTTGAAGAATTTTTCTTTTTAACAATTCGCTAGTCACTGTTTATTAGGAAATTGTTTTTTATTTTGTAAAATAACTTGATGTCAGTGGTGAACTCCTAATTAGAAGGAAAGCTTAATGTAACAACATATAATTCGAACTGCTGAATATAAAAGTAGATTATTTGAAAAAATATATAATGCTTAGATAATTTTCACATCTTGAAATTTGCTCATTCATTGAGATAATGGTGCTACGTTTTTAGACATTTTTCCTACACTTTTTTTCTACTTTCTTGAAGGTGTTTTATGTAAATCATTTCCATCAATTGAACTGTTACCATTGCCTTTTTCTGTTGAGAAATTTCCTTTGAAAAATAGTGCTATTTTTAGGCTTGTATTTCTCTGAGAACAAAATTTTCAAAGTACTAGATCACCTTAAAATTATTTCAGATATTGACAGCATTTAAGTCCCTTGTGCTTAGAGTAGAAAATTGGTGGGTTAAAAAGCACCTGTAGACAAAAATTATAAGAAGGATTCCCTTTTATTTGAATTGGCTGTTTATTCTCCTAATGCTCGTGTGTGATATGTGTAGAGGATGTATAAAAGGAAATGGAAATGACTTGGTTTTGTTTGTTTTTGTTTTTATTTTGGAGTGCTTATAATCCTTTTTTTCACCTGAATAAGTTAAGGAAATAGGTTTTTGTTCACATTTTTTTTAACCTGTATGATACCTCACATGGTTGCTTTTACAGATGAAAAGAAAAGGTATATGTGGAAGTACCTGGTAGCAGGCACAGAGTATGCACCAAATAAATTTTAGCTTTGATGAAACTTTCCATATTAAGTTGTGATTTCATGCTTTGTGATTTACTGGTCTTGAAATAATTTTAGAGCAAAACGAATCTATGAGAATTCAAACTATATAGGATTGTAAGAGATTATCTACGTCAGTGGCTTTTGAACTGTAATTGTGACACACAGTAAGAAATATATCTTATACTGCAAACCAGTATATAAAATATATACCTGAAACAAAAGTTTTAAAAATTGTCTTTAATACATGTAGTATATTCTGATATATATATATTTTTTTAAAGATTTATTTTATTTTTTGCCCCCAAAGCCCCAGTAGATAGTTGTATGCCATAGCTGCACACCCTTCTAGTTGCTGTATGTGGGACTCGGCCTCAGGATGGACAGAAGTGGTGCCTCGATGCGCACCTGGGATCCGAACCCGGGCCGCCAGCATCGCAGCGCGCGCACTTAACCACCAAGCCACAGGGCCGGCCCATATTCTGATATTTTTTATTCTATTTATTTAAAAAAAAAAAAAAAAAAAAGGCTGGTTACAATCGCTAAAAGAGTTTCCTGATGTAGTTTGAATAAAACTGAGATAATTCAGCCCTGTCTTTCTCCAAGCAGATGTAGAAATAGAGGGCCAGAGACTTATGTGGCCTAACCCAAGGAGGTCAGAGCCAGGACTAGAAGCTAGATTTTTTTCTCATCTGCTATCCAATGCTCTCTCTACCATGTTGCACCCTTTATATTCTTTATTCTATGAGTTCTTCTGGAGTTGCTTTTGTTGAGACTTTTATACAGCAAGTGTGTGTTCAGTACTTATTGGATACCATAAATGTATTGGAAAAATTGGCATTGAAGAGGGAGAGGGAGATGACGGAACAGAAATGTTTATAGTCGTAATCAGCCTCTGGGATGCTTCTCTGAATTGTGGGTGAGGAGGGCTGGGGGAGTGGAGTGGGTTAGCAGTGCTTGCAGTACCCAGACACGTAGCAGAAAAACATATAAACTTGGAGAGTGGGGGTGGGAATGGCAGTGGGAAAAGCCATTTCACCAAAATGAAGTTCGTTGGATATTAGAAACTTTTTCTGTCCAAAGCAGCCGAATTGCTCCACCCACTCAGAGGATTTAACCACCTGGAGTGCAAGCCACATACGTAATTTAAAATTTTCTAGTAACCACATTAAGAAGTAAAAATAGGTGAAATTAATTTTAATAATATATTTTATTTAACTGAATGAATAGAGCCAAAATATTTCAACATAGAATTGGTATAAAATTTAATGAGATATTTTACATTCTTTTTTTGTGCCTAGTCTTTGAGATCCAGTCTATATTTACACTTAGCACATCTCAATTCAGGCTGTTCACATTTCAAGTACTCAGTAGCCACATGTGGCTAGTAGCTACTGTATTAGCTAGTGTAGTGAAGTATGGCAGTTATCGACTTAACTGTCTTCCAGCTCCAAATCCATCCTTCTCTGCCCTGCTGTGTAATACTGAAGCTGGACTTAATAAACTTGCCTCCTTCACCAATTTGGCAGAATGTTAGGCTTCTTTGACAGAGGGCCCTTGAAGTGGCATTGCAAAGCAATAGCAAGAACACACTTCATTCTGGTTCTGGTTCTCCATCTTTATTCACCACTGGAGTCCAGCAACCGCAGCAGAGGAGCTCCAGCTGTGCCTCAGGTCACGCTCTTCCAACTTGGGTGCTGCCACTTTGGAGAGCTCCAGTGGGCTGCTTCCGTGGCAGCTCAGCCATTCTCACAGGCAACTGTCTCCCACCCTGTGGTCTGTGCCTTCTGACAAGTTTCTTCACCAGTGGCAGGCTGAATGTTCCTGTGGAAACCATGCCCTCCCAAAAGAGGTCTCAGCCTGGGAGTTGGGGTAAGGAAGAGAGCCTCTCCTAGTCTTTAGTTCCTTATTTTTTTTCACTTTCTCTCAGCCTAGAGGTAGTAGTTGCTTTTTGCATCTGCTACTTCTGTACTTCTTAGGCCCTCTTCTATCTCTTTAAATAGTTAACCACCTTCTACTAGTTAACAAATTGTATTAAAATTTCCCTGTTCAAACACCTGGTGTGGTTTCTGTCTCCTGACCTCACCCTCGCTGATATACTCCTGTATCTACTGAGCCATTTTAAAGTGGGGGCAAATGATATATCTTAATGCTGCTAGCAAAAGCCATATGGATTTATATGTACCTAGCCTATATTAAAAACTTTCCTTTCTTAAAAGTTCTTTTGAAATGTGCCTGTAGTGGAAATGTGGTTTAGCTACTTCAATGATACCTATTTGATGCAATTCCAACTTTTATCTTTTTTTTCTTTCTACTTTTTGGGTGTGTTGTTCCTTTGTGCGGTAGCCTAGGTTGCCAGGAAAGCCTGTGTTTGACTTTCGTATAAAAGTAAATGAGATTGAGACTTGAATGTCTAGACTTTGAGCGTAGGAATCAACATCCATTCAAGTGTCTTCCAAGTCTGTGTCCTTAAGCCTGCCAGTCTTTCTAAACACAATGATTAATTTTTTTTAAATTTTATTTATTTATTTTTCCCCCCAAAGCTCCAGTAGATAGTTGTATGTCATAGCTGCACATCCTTCTAGTTGCTGTATGTGGGACACGACGTCAGCAGGGCCGGAGAAGCGGTGCGTCGGTGCGCGCCCGGGATCTGAACCCGGGCCGCCAGCAGCGGAGTGTGCGCACTTAACCGCTAAGCCACTGGGCCGGCCCAAAACACAATGATTAAATGAAAGTCAAATATGGGGCATTTCCACCAGCACACTAGAAGCATACAGAGTGTATAGACTTTGGATCCAGATAAAGTTGGGGGTTTTAAAAAAATTGCCTACTAAAATTATAGCATTCATGCTCTATGGAGGTGGGGCAGGATTTTTTACACAATTATTATGTGTTTGGAACAGATTGAAAATTTTTTAAAGAAAATCTTGTCTAACAGTGGGTACTCTCAAGATCACTTTTGTGAAGAGATGGAAGGGTCTCTAACTGAGATGGTATCCTCATTAGACTGCTCCAGTTTCGGAAGGGGATGTCATCTCTATCCCCACCTCCGGTGATTGTATGGACCTGCCCTTAATCGTCAATAATATCTGTACCCCAGGTACTTGTCAGAGAACAACTTTTAACTCTTTATTGCCCAACGTTCAAAATTTCATTTTTGAGAAATGTTTATGGAGGAGGCCAAAAATTGAGTAAACCGTCCATTTCTCTAGAAATTCTGAATGAAATGAAGCCCACTATGGAGACCTTTGTGCCTGGGTTACCTTGTTTTGGCCACATATCAAGTTACTTTACCGCACTTAGCTTTGGATGTGTTGTGAAACTTACATTCATGCCAGGGATGACGCTGGTTCACTCTAAGATACAATAGCTTCTTTGAGGACCCATATGAGAAATTTCAGTTTTCAGTTCAGGAGTAAATGTGCTTCTACACAACCAGCTTGCCCTTATCTTTTAAAGTCTCTGAATAAAGTAACAAATCACATACTACAACTAAGAGGTTCAGCCACATTTCAGTTTCTCCTGTAGCAAATGTTTAGGACGTTAATAGTATGCATTGCTCAGTACTTGCCTTCTGACTATATCTGATATCTTAAGTTCTTATTTCTCCTTTGCTCTGATTTCTTTTTTTAAAGTTTTGTGTCATGTTCTTAGAAATTCTTATTTTGGAACAAGGTAGAGTATAAATAAACATATGGAGTGAATGAGTTTAAATCTTGTCTCTTTCACTAACTGACCAGAATAAGTTTTCTTCTTTTCCAGGTATAAAATGAGGATCATGCCTTAAGACTTATTAGGATTCAATTAAGTAGAAGTGTGTGAAGCACATGGCAATGCTCCCGGTAGGTGCTCAATAGATATCCCCATCTTTCTTATGATGCACATAGGCCTCTAAAATAATCTGCTTGAATGAAGAACAAATACCTCAACTAGCATGATTTGAATACATTCTTCAAAAAACAAGCCAAAAATAGGTTATAGGCTTGGTGCTGTGATATTCTTGGGAATAGAAATGAGATCTAGGCCTTGCCCTCAAGGAATTTGCACTGTAGTTATAAAGGTAGCTGAGAAAATAGACAATTACAGGACATGTAATTACAATTACATACATGCTGTGACAGATCTACATAGGAGGGACACCCAGACTAGACTGAGGGAGTGGGGAAGGCTTCTTCAGAGGAGAAGGGGCATGAGCTCAGCCTCGAGTGGAGCCTTTTTAGAATTGTTTTTGATGCTATCAAATGATTAGTTAGGAATCACATTTTCCTGAAGTAAGCTGGACACACTGGGGAGAGGAATAAAGCACGTACCTCCCAAGGTCCTTTTGAATTCTGAGATTATATGAAAACTGCTTGAATTAAGGAAAGTCTGGTCAAATGACTTGATTACCAGGAAAAATGGAATTTACGTTGGCTGTTTAAAACCTTTCGTATTAGACTAAGCCAGGGATGACAGAAAAGCAAGGAGCAAAATAAGTGAGCTATGATGTTATTTTTTAGCTAATTTGTGCTTCATTAAACATTCCAGAAATTTAAGAATCCACACTTATGGGCTCAATAAAGGTATACTGATTAGATAAATAAATCTATTCTTTTAAAACAGTGGCTGATTTCTGGGGAAAAAAATGTCTGGGATAAATGTATTTAGTCTATAAACTACCAGAAGATGTCACTGTCTCCCAAGTAATGGTCCATCACATTGGCCCTTTTGCAAGTATGTTTTTTGAACACTGACAGGCTGTGACAGATTGCTAAGAATATTTGGCTTCTAGTGTTGAATTTATGAGAATGGGACCTCACAAAAAATACTTGTCCAAGGTGTGTAGGTTTGTTCCACCTTGATTCTTGACGCCCTAAATATGAACCCTGTTCACTGCTCCATAGATTGAAATTGTCTGGACACTCTGGGTTCCATCTGCACTTTCAAGAAAAGTGAAGGTGGTGAAAAATTCTGCAAAATATCCTCTCTGATCTTGACTTCCACATTTTCAGGCTGTAATATTATGATGCAACTG